AAACACGTTCGCACTTATGTTTTTCCTACTTATGTTACGGTCAAACACGTCGACACTTATGTTTTCCCTTACATTTCCTCTTAGTTACGCGAAGGATGCGTACCTGTATAAATAGGGGTTACCACCCATCTTGCTTAAGAGAATTAAGAACAAGAACTACTACCAATCTACCTTCATACAAAATTCCTCCTCGCTTAGCGTGCCCGCAGTATACTCTTACTACTGTGTCGTACTTTCGTACAAAGTTATTAAGATAGTGCCATACCCACACATTTGAACAGAAGGATGTCCTGAAAGTTAAGGAGACATCTTGATATTTATATTCCACATCTGAGTAGTTGTAGGCTACATCTATCTAATACCAAATAATGTACCTTCCATATTTCCTACCTCTTACAATCATAACAGGGATCCATCTGACCCTGATAAACTTTGCGTCTTGCTCAGACTACGGTCTCCATACATTGTTGTGTTTCTGCAAAAGTCTCGAAAAGTTCTCTAGCAAAAATGTACAATTCCTTGGTCTCGGAGGTTTGAGTATGAGTGAGTGGTCTCCCCTTGAGCCAACTTACCATTCTCCTTACTCTGACTGGAGTGATCGGCTCTGTTTAAGACTTATTAATACATTATTGAGTTCGCAACTCAATTGCATTAACTTTAAGGACCTTTCACTAGGATTCGACTAGTCAACATTCTGAGAAAGTCCCTCAATCACAGATAGCCCTCCGGTTAGCTCTATACTGCATAAGTACTAGACTAGGCTCTGTGCCTCGTCCATATAGGCATATCCCGATAACTCAGTGGACTATTGGTGATTTTATCCTAATACTTTCTGTCTATATTTGAGATGATCAATCTCACTTGACTCATAGCTCCATAGTTATCTATCCAATTGACTCTATTCTACTTTTCAAACATGGACTAAGATCCCTTCTTATATATCCTACAAACAGTTTTTGGTCAGAGGGATGGCAATAATATATATGGTGTTGTGAAGTATGCTTCATTTTAATTGATTTATACTGTCGGGATGTTAAAGTTTGGCAATACTATTCCTGCGTGCAGGCCCAATGGCAGGGCCGGAGGGGGGTATTGGCCATAGAATTTTCGCAGTTTTCAGGAGATTTGTGCTTTCATATGTATAGCATAGAGTTACAATCTACTAGAGAAGTTGTACCAGTATTTATTCTGGAAAAAAGGCTCACTTTAATACCAAATTTCTCAGGTATCACTTAAGTGCCGCAGCTAATACTTAGCACCCTGGTTCTACTCAATGCTGGCTTTCCAATAGTATATTGAATGTCTATCTGGCACCAATATTAGAAGAGTTATAGCCTAGTATGGAAGTAGTATTTACTCTGATAAAGTACTGACATTGATACCAGATTTCTCAGATGTCCCTTAGGTGTAGCAACTAATACTCAGTACTCTAATTCTACTCAATGCCAGATTTCTAATAGTATATTTAATATCTACTTATTACCAATATTGGTAGAGTTATAGTCTATTATTAAGGTAGTATTTACTCTGGACAAGTATTGGCTTTGATGCTAGATTCCTCAGATGTCCCTTAGACACAGTAGCTGATGCTTAGCGCTTCAATTCTACTTGATCCCAGCTTTCCAACAGTACATTGAATGTCTATCCAATACTCAGGCTTATACTGGTAGAGTTACAGCCTATTATAGAAGTAGTATTTACTCTGATAAAGTGCTAACTTTAATACCAGATTCCTCAAGTGTTTCTTAGATACAGTAGTTAATACTCAGTATCTTGATTCAATTCAATGCCCACTTTCCAATAGTATATTGAATATCTATCTAGTACCTATATTGGTGGATCTATAGCTTGGGATAGAAGTAGTATTTAGGTAGAACTTTAGGATTAGCTTGGGGAAAGAGTTTTTCTTTCTGTTCTGTGCATTATAGAACCAATATAACTAGAATTGTTCTTTATTTTAAAGGTCTTAGAATCTACCTGATATGTGACTTAGATTACAAGATCTAGTCCTGGTCTTGCATCCCGTAAATTGCAGTAGTACTCACTTGCATTCTGAAAATTATAGAAGTACTCACTTGTATTCTAGTTGCATCCTAAGTTCTGATACCAAGGACTGTTGCATCCTGAGTTCTGGTTGGTGCCCCCTTTTGTTCTACTTAATAGTTTGCATCCTGTACATCTTATACATCAGACACATAGGATACACAGGATATAAGTTTTTATTTTTACTGATAAAGTATAATACTAAAGTCATTATTGCATTTCTGAGGCAGTACGGGAACCTTATTAAACTCTTATCATAATAACCTTATTCTGAGGCAATGATTATAATATTATACAATCTTGATTTCATAATAAACTCTGAAAATATATACATATTACTAGTACCTAACCTAACTAGAGGCCTTGGCACTTTAGCATGCTCGGCCACGTAGCACCCCAACTTCAGCCTGGTATCCATTTTGGCTGGCACGAACCATAGGAATTTTTTTTCCCTTCTACAGAATTCCTATGGGACTTATTGTTTATGGGGGGGTATTGCCGTACTCTCACAGTAGGACGCTATGATATCATGAACCAACGATACCGGCATCATACAGAATCATGCTCTCCGAACAGAGAAGGATTCCATATTTTCCTACCCTTGCATCGCAAGCCCCAAATGCAAAGATCCATGTGCGGCTCTAACAGGCTTTTCTAGTCAAAAGTAATTATTGGAGAATCCACCACGACGCGAATACCCTAAGTTAATCCGCCGGAATGGTTTGGTGCCGGCCTGTGGGAAAACCCCTTGATTTCTCTGGGGACTGTGCCAGTAGGGGACATTTGAATTCATGCGGGTTGCCAGTATTCAGCTATGATAGTATGACATAAAGAGATGCGCATCCGCTATCGGAGGAATGAGTTTTGGGCTGGGCCTCAACGAGGGTTAATACTTAATTCGAGTGAGAGTACATGGATGTGGGTGGATCCTGGGTCTGGGGCAGCTGGACGACCCACTGTTCCGCGGTGGTGGTGTCTTGTACCCCAATGAACACAGTCGATGCTGGATAGTAGATCGGGGATTCACGGGAGCGGGGGAGTCTACAGCGTTTGGATACAACTTTCGACCACAGGTCATGTCATGCTCACGCGCAATACTGGGGCACAATTTACCATCATTCTATCATGCACATCATTCCCCCAAAGTCTCCCCCGCAACGAAGGACTCTAAAAGCCGCGACGAGAAACGCACACCCCGAGCCACAGCCGCCCCCTCAGCTTTATCGGTCACGACATCGGTTCCCTTAACATGCTTCTTCAGGAAGAAGAGCACACCACGAACCAACACTGGATTCTCCTTTATCTTGGCCAGCACCCTTTTGAGGCTCTCCTCCGTCCCACCCTCCTGTCCGAGCGTTTGCAGGAAGAGCGTGATGAACATTAGCTCCAGGAAAGTCTTAGTCTTGCTCTGCAAGTACACGATGTCAAGGATCTTGAGCATGTCTAATCCTAGAGCATCCTGGGCGACCAAAGTCCCGTACATCCTGGAAAGATTGAGGATCTTCCGCATATCAGGGCCTTCATCGCTCTCGCCATCTTCGCCAAAAAGACCCGCTTCTGCCTTTCCTGCCTCGCCCTCACCCATACGACGGAACACCGCCCAAAGACTGAAGGTAAAGGCCTTACGCATGTTATTCTGTGTACAGAGCTTTCGGGCAACAAGCGTATAGTAGGGATTGTATGAAGCTTCTGAGCCGCAGCAGTGGATGAGAACACGGGGTATCTCGGGCTCTTGTTTGCGTTTTAGCCGGAGTTTTAGAATACGAAAGTATGCGTCCGTGTAGTCCTCCGCAGACATGATGGCTACGAAGATTGCCTGTCGGATGTCTGTGTTCATTCGTTGTTCTCGAGCCAATTGCAAGAGATCGGTGTTCGAGTAAAAGTCCAGGTCTTCTGGATCTTTCTTGCACTTCTTGGGGGCTTTACCGGGCGGTCCGGAAGCTGTCGATGTCGATTCTTGGTTACCCACCCATGATGCACCGACGAGCCACCATTTCCCCTTTGTATCCGTGTTCCTGATGTCTGCTAGAGAGACACGCAAAGGCTCACTTGCTCGTATTTGACGGTTGTTAAGAGCCCCTAGAAGCTTCTTCATGCGGATTGTTGCTTCCGCGACTACAACTGAATTAGCGGCAGCCGACTTCGAGCGGTTGTTCTTGAGATTTGTCAATGTCTCAATCATGAATCTCGTTCTAATGCTAAGATTTTCGTGACCAATCTTCTCAATGGCAGGCTGCATCATGATGACAAGGTCCTTCAAAGAGGTCGGGTCGTCCTGTCGTAATTGGTGGCCACAATCTAACCAAATTAGCTTGGTGGGCTCAGGAACGCGGGGATATCATACTTCTTGCAACTTTCAGGAGCAGCTCTGTATTCAATTCGGTTATCTCTCCCAGAAATATCCTCAGGAGATCGAAAATAAGCACGGCTCCCACAACTTGAAAATTGTAGAGTTCCGAAATAAAACTCATTAAATTTGTGCATTTCTTGCTAGCACTCGCTGGGCCATCGATTCCATTCACATTGTTGTAGTATCCGTCAAAATCCTCAATGACAGCTTGTACAATGTGAGCCCCAAAGCCCGTTCCCATGATTTTATATACTCCAGCGACAAAGCCAGCATGTAGTATCATGAAGGTATCTGACAGGGCTGATTGATCGCCAACAATGGTTATTAGGAGGTTGGAGAGCGTGGAAGTGACATCGCCTCGAGGATTAGTTGTATAGAGTTCCTCCACCTCCGAAAGAATCGGGGTGAGATTGGCTTCTGAGAGACGATTCAGGAGACCGTGGCACTTCCGTCGGAGGTGAGCGGGCTGCTCGGGCCCGGTGGCTTGGGTTTTCCGAAGCGATGGTGGAAGGTATTTTAGTATACTGGGAATCGGGGAAGGGCCGTTCTCCGGAGAATCATTACCCCCCGCTTCCCGATCATCCTCTATATCCGAGCCAATTCCCATGAATTCATCCCCGCTCTCACCCTCTATATCACTCATACCCTCGTCCAGGCATTCCGCATCCCCATCCCCGTCACTTGATTCCTCATCTGATTCCTCATCTTCTCCGCCACCGCCATCCTCCTCCTCTGACTCTTCTTCTCGTTGATGCACACTCTTACGCAATCCCGACTCGCTTCTCCTCGCCCCCTTGCTCGGCTCGGACCGAGCCGCCTCATCCTGACCGATCCCATCCAATCCTTCAAACAAAAAGTCTAGTCCATCCTCCTGAAAGGCTTTTGGCAATTTCCCCTTAATCTTCAGTTTCTTTTCCAAATACTCGATCTCCATATCATCTTGCTCAAGCTTCTCCCTCACCGCCCTCCGAAGCATAGGTTTTGGCTCCCACGCCTCTTCCTCTTCCTCATCATTGGCCTTTTTCACTGGCTTCGGTTTCTTGAGAATGGACTTGAGTGCTGGTTCTGAGTGCTTTTCCTCCTTTCCCTTCTTCTCTTTGGCTCCCGATTCCTTCCGTTTCCCCCGGGTGATTGGTGCTGGAAATGGGGGAGAGGGCGATAGTGGAACTGGAGGGCCTGAAGCATGGCTCACCACCCCCCGCTGCTGATGTTGAGACTTCTTGACTACGCGTTCCTGCCGCCGGCGCTCTTTCCTACCCAGAGGCCTCCCACTCCGTGAGCTCCTAGCGCTTCTGCCACCAGTCGACGTCAATTTGGTGCCGGATTTGAGATTGCCGCCGCCTTAATTCAAGGTCTTGTTAGCGCCTATTTGGGCAGCAGAGAATGCCTGAGAAGACTTACTTAGGCCTAGTTCTTCGAGGACCGACTTTGGTAGTCGCGTTGTGCTTGTTTTCGGTGGCATTGTTGGGCTTCTGTTTTTTTCGGTGGTGGGGGTTGATGGAGGAAGTTTTAAGGTTGCGCGGGTCGGCTAAATTGGGCTAGTGGGGTATCCTCGGTGTGGTGGTCAATGATCGAGCTGGCTAACTTACCGCATATCATATCTCATGGCGGATAATTTTTGAGCTCAAAGCCGGCCAAATTATCAAAGTTCGAACCGAAACATGATGAGACTCCAGTATCTTCTGCTTTCCCCTCGGGGTTCAGGGTTAACTAGAGTTTTTTTTTAGTTTTTTTTGGAAGTGGCATATTTTTGAATTCCCGCAAAGATTATAAACTTCTAGAACTACAGGTGTGGTATATATTTACAGGCACGTGTATCTAAGCTATTCAATGAGCCCGCTAGCAAGCATTTCCAGATCCTCTAGGTTTTCCGGAGCTTTAGCAGCTTCGATAACTCGTCCCCTGGTCTTCTTAGCCTTTTCTTTGGCCTCCCCCTCTTCTTCGTTATCCTCGAACCATTTTCTCTGTCTCTTGGGTTGCCTCTCTACCTCAACATCTTCATCTTGCCCGAGGTGATCGCCTTCCGCCCCTCCATAAGGCACCAGCTCCACCCGAAACTCATCCCCGTCACTTCCTTCTCCAATCACGGCTTCCTCCTCTGCGGCACGGAGTTTCTGGGCCCTTCTCCTTTCCTTCCTCTTCTCTTTTGCTAATTGCCTATCCCAGATATCCGCCTCCTTGACCCTCTTACCTTCTTCATCCAAGAATTTCCTTCTCTGGGTCTCTGCTGACCCCGCTTCACGGAACTTATCCTCATCTTGCAGCTCGTATATCTGATGGGCTTCTCCGTCATCGTCGAAAACAAGTCTTGTGCCCTTGGGCTTAAGTTTCGCCAGCTCCCTTTTGGACTTGAGCATTTTTTCCTTACGTTTGGAGTCTATTATTATCTCCTTCCCTGGCACTTTGAGTGTTTTCGATGGCATTTCTATGGGATCGGGAATGTCGGAATCGTAGCCTGAACGTTTGACAGTCAAGAAATCGCCCTCATCGTCGGGGTCCGCTCCATCATCTTGAACCAAGTTTGCATAATGGGCTGTGAGGACATTGATGTTTTCTAAAGATGTTAGATCTTACGATGGGCAAAAGGGTAGAGGAATGGTTACTTCGTTCGACCATTCGATCATATTTAGTTCGTACGTCCTTCCTACTCCCGGCTTCTCCTTCTCCCTCTTCATCGCTGGAGGCACCCTCTAGAGCCTTTAGACCTCTGGGTGCATTTTTGATTTCCTTGGTTTTGGCTGCATCCACATTCTTCAGGCCCTTGATCCTTGGAGCACCAAGGAGCCCGATACTAGTCGCATACTCGTCCAACGGCAACTCCTCAAGCTTGAATACCTCTCTATCCTTCTGAACACTGATGCTTCGACAGTAACTCACGAAGGCCTTTTGTCCCAAATATTTGAGCTCAGGGTCCTTGAATAGCAACCCCTGAAGTTGGTTTTGAATGCTCTGCTTTTTAGAGTTTTTCTGGCCAACCTTATTGATCGGAACCTTCCTGCTGGCCAATCCATCTGCAAACTTCTCTTCGCTTGGGCACAGGAACAGCAGTGCCTTCCCAGCCTTTTCAAATCTAGCAGTTCGGCCAACACGATGAATATACGTATCGGCATCCTCCGGCGCATCCAACTGAATAACCCAATCCACTGCTGGAAAGTCCAAGCCCCTCGCAACTACGTCAGTCGAGAATAAACAACTTTGCTTGGCGGCAGAAAATTTTGCTGTTATGTCTATCCTAGCGCTTTGTTTTTGCTTTCCGTGGAGATGCAGAAGCGGAATACCAATGTGCAGTTGCCTAAAAGTCTCGTACACGAAACGGACCTGTTTACAGGAGCTCATGAATACCACCATTTTCGACTGCAAATGATTCCGGAGAAAGGCGAACAGGGTATTCAGCTTCTCAGGCAAAGTTGTGATCATGTAGAACTGGTCCAAGCCGGCCGGGGTAGCCGAAGTAGCGGCTTCATGGACAGCAAGGTATTCCGCATCCTTCAACCCTAACCTTGCGAGGTCCGAAAGACTCTTCGTCTGTGTGGCGCTGAACAGTAAGGTTTGCCTCTCTTTCGGCAAATTCTCGATGATCGCGTCTAAAGTCTTTCGGAAGCCCATGTCCAGGATCCTATCGGCCTCATCCAAAACCAACACTTGAACGTTATCCAGCATAAGCCCGGCCGTCTGGTCCATGTGTTGTAGCATTCGCCCAGGCGTGCAGACGACGATATTCATCCTATGAAGGGCTTCCTGCTCATCCTTCAATTTCTTTCCGCCGATAACCAGGCCAGCTGAGAATGCATGCTCTCTCCCGATCTTTCGCAGAACATCGAATATCTGCGTTGCGAGCTCGCGGGTAGGTGAGATTACGAGTGCGCCCAAACCATCCATAGCGGTCCATTTCTTCCGATAGAGAATTTCCAGAACCTGCTCTTGTCAGGACCAGATCGCGCACCAGAAAACTAGGAGTTCTCTCACAGGAATCAGGAATGCCAACGTTTTCCCACTTCCCGTCTTTGCAGCGCCGAGGACGTCGCGACCTTTCAATGCCAACGGGATAGCCTTCCGTTGGATGTCGGTCAAGGTCTTGAAATGTGCTTTGTGTAATCCAGCCGCCGTCTGCTTCGTTAAGGGCAATTCTGAGAAAGCGGTGATGTCTTTGCCATCCTAACCCCCTAATCAGCCGTCATCCAGCATTCGGGGAGAAGAGGTTGTGCCGGAAGCGTACGAATTCCCGCACACGAGTCTCCAGCAATTGAAATTCTTCCACATTCCTCCTTCGCTTGAGCCTTTTCGCAGCACTCTTTGTATTAACCGGGCGGTCTCCCGTTCTCTCTGGCAGCCTTACCGACGGTGGCATATTCTCCAAGTTAGAGAATCGATAGTAGCGATGGTGGTGGTGGTGGGGTGGGGGGGGGGGGGGCGTTAGTTACACTTTGCCAGCACGATAATCTACAAGAGAGGATCCAATTTTTTGCCGTGGTTACGTAACCTTTTATTATCATATGATACTTCCGATTCCAGGATGCCTCTTGGGGGTGGGGGGGAGGACTGGTATCATACAAGTACCGGTAGGGTAACCTGGGTTGACTTCTCAGCAGGAATTGTAGGTAAGGGTTCAGGTCCCGAACGCAGTGTCATAGAAATTGCGGGTATGATACTGTATATAGCTCCGAGCGATTTTCCTTGGGCGAAGAAAGGAAATAGAGGGGCCTTTAGAAGGGCCGGAAAATGATGGTTGGACTTCTCTGTGCGTGACTTCACAAGTACCGTATGGTACCGATACTCGTACATGGTGATGCAGCGAAAGGGTCCAGAGTGATTGTTTCGGGTAAACAGCAATACCGGCATCATAACATTATCATACGGTAGGTATGACAATATCATGATATTCCTGCTTGGGCCGAGAGGTGGGGCAGGAATAAACGAGATGGCTCTTCCGGGTCACAGTGCTGTCCTAGTATGATAAGTTACTGGAGTGAGCGAAGGGTGAAGAGAGCTGACCACGGCGCAGTATGTTACCGTACAGTAGGGTGCCGGAACCGCAGTTTCAGGATTGGGAAACGCTGGCGATTCGAGATGCCCTTATTAACCTCAACGCACGCACGGGAATGCGCAGTGCTTGGGCGAGACTGGTTATGTTGGGCGACCAATCCTTAACCTTCCTCTAATATGCCTTGGACTTGAATTGCCTCTTTGGGCAGGCCTGGTACCGGTAGTTGGACGCCACAGCAAACTTTTTACGTTTTTTTCCCAATTTTTTTTTTTCCTCCTCCCTCCTTTCCTTGGTCCCGCACCCACCCCCCCCCCTTCCACACCTCTCCTCCCCTCCCAGCCCACTCCTTCAAATAACCCGTAACTCCCACCACCACCATCACCACCATCTACCACCACCATCCATCATACCCAAAACTCAACACAGACTCCTTCACCGAGCTTGCCCTTCTTCCAACTGCTTCCCCTCTGTTTTGACCTCTTCATCCCGAAAAAGAAAAAAAAAATCTGATCACTCCATGGGTTCCACCCTTTCGCATTGACTATCTAGCCATTTTCGAGGGTCAAACCTATTTCAGAGCTCCGCACAAAGGAATCTCTTACCATCTCAGAACACATCACCTTTCCTCCCATCCACCCAGCAACCACTCTCAGCCTCACCCTCGTCAGGTCCAGTAGAGCAATTCCCGTTCAGGTTCTCTGCTGATTTCACTGTTCGTGGGACTTCAGTGCCTCCGTGGCCTTTCAACTCACAAACCACCAAGTTGGCGGGATCCATTTCTCCAAAGTTCTCCTTCGCTCTCCCCCTCCTCGGTCCACTATCCTGGGTCCTCGGAGCCTCCAAGAAACCTCCATAACTGGCCCTCTGGTCGGCCAATCGGAAGAAGGACCACTGCTTATAGCTGCTGTCCATACCACTGCCAAACATTCCTCGGTCTTACAGCTGGGTAAACTTTTCGGCTCCTTCTTGAACACGGCTTCTCTCTCCTGCCTTCCTCAGCCCTTGTTGAGGGTGATTCCAAACCCTCAAGGCTGTCGAATTGATTGCAACTAGCGTGGTGAGCGCACCTCGCGGCTCGCCCTAGTTGCTGGAATTCTCGGATTCTGGAAATTTGTTGTGAGCAGACTTTGGCCCCCCATGGAAAGGTAGCATTGATGACTGATGCTTTTTTTTTTTTTTGCGGTAGATTTATCGTCATCATAACGGCTATCTCTACACCCCACATAATTTGTTTTCCGACCACGATATCTATTTTTTTTACTCAATCACTAGTCCCGGATTTCCACTGTCCCTACTGAACCGGCCCCTGGAAGAAGGCAGCAACAATGGACACCCCACGCTCCGAGTCGCCCCACTTTACCCCTGCCCCCGCCGCCGAGCTGGACGATCATAGGTTCCAGGCGCATTCCCTTCCTCGCTCTGGCACTGCGTCGTCGGATGCTCGTGCCCGCCCGGACATATCGCTCATTGTCGAGGATGCCCATAGCCCCATTCACAGAGACTACGAGCAGGCTGTGTTGGATGACGACACACGCGACAATAGGTCTGCCCTTTCTCCTGATGACTGCGGTGACCGTCAGTACGGCGTACCCTTCCCATCCCGCTCTTCTTCTCGGGTCGCTTCCACAAGATCACCATCGCCCCCGAACTCTGTTGATGCATTTGCAAATCCCGAGCACAGACGCCGTGTCGATCGTTCCGCCACCATCAGCTCCCAAATTCCTGCGGACCTTGCCTTAGGCCTCCGCAGGACCATGTCACGCCGTCCGACCTTTACTGAGGATCAGACTGCTGAAAATGGCTCCGGCGATGAGGCTCTGGCCACTGCGGAGGAGGATGTTTGCTTCCCGCCTCCTGAGGAGAGCAAAATCCGGGGTGGCATTGATTTTGAGGAGATGGATGAGTTTGTGGCCGATCAATCACGCGCAAAGCCCTGTGAGAGGAGAAGGAAAATGAGCACTTGTGGGGATATGATTGGGTCCCGATACTTTGATCAAATCAAGGCCAAGGAGGATTTGTCCGCTGCTCCTGGCATTGTTGGGAAAGAGGCTCCCATCTCCTCCACGTCATCTATCAATAATGAGAAGGCCGAGTTTTGCAACACGCCGACCACCCCCCGTCATAGGCGTGTGAGCAATCCTGATCGATTCAGTTTTTTCTCATCCGAGGGTGATGCCACGATCCATGCTCCCGAGATTGGCGACCTCCTATGCGATGGTGAGAATTTCCACGAGCTCTTCCGCGGTGGGCAGGGCGTCTGGTGGTTGGACTGTTACGATCCTACTACAGAAGAGTTAGCTATGCTCATGAAGGCTTTTGCAATCCATCCTTTGACCGCTGAGGATATTCGGGTTCAGGAGACCCGCGAGAAAGTTGAACTTTTCAGGTCCTACTATTTTGTATGCTTCCGCTCTTTTGTGCAAAATAAGAACTCCTCGGACTTTATGGATCCTGTAAACGTCTATATCATCGTTTTTCGCGAGGGAGTGTTGAGTTTCCACTTTGCGCCTTGCCCGCACAGCGCCAATGTTAGGAAACGGATTAGGCAGCTCCGCGATTACGTTGCTCTCTCATCAGACTGGATTTGCTACGCGTTGATGTAAGTTTTTCTTTTTTCTGGTGATCGCGGTGGTATTGAGAGATCAGTGCTGACATGGGTAAATAATAGTGATGATATCACTGATTCCTTCGGTCCCGTAATTCACGACATTGAGAAGGAGTCTGATGCCATTGAGGATGGCGTTTTTGTCGCGCGCACAGATGATTACACTCCCATGTTGCGGCAGATTGGCGAATGTCGGAAGAAGTGCATGACCTTGATGAGACTGCTGGGCGGCAAGGCCGATGTTATCAAGGGATTCGCAAAGAGATGCAACGAGCAATACCAGGTCACTCCTCGTGGTGAGATCGGATTGTATCTCGGTGATATTCAAGGTTTGCTTGTTACATTTTATTGGTTTGGAGCCAGATTCGCTGATGCGTAGTTCCTTTTAGACCACGTCGTCACGATGATGGGCAGTTTGTCTCACTTTGAGAAGATGCTTTCCCGCTCACACGCCAACTACCTTGCCCAGCTCTCGGTAGATTCTATCCAAACCAATAACCGTGCCAATGAGGCCCTCGGAAAAATTACAACCATCGCGACAATTCTCGTCCCGCTCAATCTAATTTGTGGTCTCTTCGGCATGAATGTAACAATTCCCGGCCAGCAAGACCCACACCTTTACTGGTTTTTCGGGATCCTGGCAAGTATCTTCCTGTTTGTCACTGTGTCCTTCTTCCTCGCAAAGCGGTGGAGGTTTATATAAATTTACCCATCTGTTTTTCATTACCCTTCCTCACGAAGAAAAAGCGGAAAATGTCCTGGGTGACGTCTGTTTATTATTATTATTATTTTCTGGGAAACTATTCCTCAAGCTTGTACCTTTGAGATCGTCGTGCCTCCTCCTGTGCCAAATTGCAGCCTTTTCAGGGATTCCCTTTACTATGCTTGTTCATGAGTGTAATAAAAAGCTTCTCTTGTTTGTTTGCGCCATTGGTTTGTTCCTTTATGCTTTTCCCGTTAGAGATTGGAATGATATGGTGCGGCAGTTTACGGATTATGGCGCCGTGAAGGGGTAAGGTGCTGTTGCCCTAGTCATCGGGGATAAGAAATGGACCAGTACTCAAGTAATACCATACTGGTAGCAGAGACAATGAACAGGAAGGTTGCAGAAAAACAACCCTGCCGAATTTGATATTTGCCACTAGTTTATTTGTGTATCGTTCTCCGTTCCCCTCCGCCCGTTACCCCGCCCTCCCCTGATAAGGGTAAATTATTCGAAGAAAACCTTGCTTACCGTACCGTATTGTACCGGTACTTTGCTGTTTCATGTATGGTAGCTTGATCTTGGTGGCGCAGAAAGAAATTTAGATGCAGAGGATATGGACCTAGGAGGCCTAGCGGCCCGTAGCCGCCCCGGAATTCTGTTGAACAGAGCTCGGGAACAATAATTGGATGAAGCAAAAAAAAAAAAAAGTCCTCACATAATAGCATATTCTAAAGATCCGTTTTAACCCAACGCGCTGTACTCGTACTGTACCGGCATACTCGAACAAGCTATGATATCATACACAGTCCACGAAAACCCTACCGGGTCTACCGACCCACAAACCAACCATAAGGCAACCCAACCCAAAGAAATCACGATATTATACCCCCACCGCACCCAATCAATCCGTGATTTCCCCAAGCCTCAAGTTCCAGCTACACATCATACTGCAGGAACATCCGGTCAGAGTGACGACGCATGATTCCACACTTCCAGTTTGGGCATGATGACCCCTCTATGATACGGTGTGATACCCATTCAAAAGCCCACCCCCCCCCCCCCCCTCCCGGGGTCTGAAAGGAAGAAAGACCACTACCCGACTAGAACCACATTGTAGACATTTATTCACACATCTATCTATTTTATCAGGGTGAAGAAGAGAAGAAGAAGATCGCCCGGGAAGGGGCGGGGGGGGACAACATGGTTGTTATCGTGTCATCATGGAACATCACTCGAGGAATTGTTAATTTAATTCAGCGAGGAACTTGAGGTACTTGTAACCTCTGTCTATCTCTTTTCAATTCTGATTTGAAGTGGGGGGGGTGTTCTAGTGTAGCTTCGCTTCGCCGTTGTGTCAGTTCCCTAATGTCTTTGTGCGTCTCGGCCTTCACAAGTTATCTTAATAGTGGGATCGGCGTTATGCATCCCTCCTCGCCATTCCTGATCCGTTTGTCCCCTCCAGTGGTCCCTCTGACTTTGGCTTCCTTTTAGTTTTTCTGTTTTTTTACCCTCTTCTTTTCCCTTTTCTATTTTTTTTTGGAGGGGGGGTTAAGGACAACATACCCATTGCACGTGGTGGACTATTGAGGTTCTTACCTTCCCCCCCCCCCCCTCTCTCTCTCATTCTTCGGTTACGCAACCGCGTGAGTGGTTGTTTGGTGTTGTGGGCGTGCATGGTGTGGGAATGGAGTGGCTGCGTGGATGGAATACCATTGTGGGTGTCGTGTGTAGGGATGGGGAGTTGGTGTGGTGGTAACTTGGGGGAAGGTGGAGAGGGTGAGATGGGATGGGATGGGATGGGATTGTTAGAATCTGGATGTTTAACTCGTTCCTGATGGCCTCGGGTGGTATGGCTCGATTGATTGCACTGCAGCTGCTTGTGCTCTGCAGGTGTGAAGTGGGTAACCTTTAGGCCGAGGTGTGGTATCGTGCATGAGTAAGGGTGTGGTATGGGGAGATTAGTCCGCCCCCCCCGGGCTTGATATCTATTCTCCGGGCTGTCACGTTCTAGTTTGGGGCGAATGCAGACTGACTGTCTGACCGGTGTTATGATACCGGTATGTAAGGTAGTTTTAATTACTGTCGATTACTGCATACCAGTATGCGTTCTTTGTCCATTTATTCGTTCGTCAATTCATTTGTTGGTCGATCAATCGGCTTATCGCTCATCCTCTCAAGCAGGCTGACCGGGAGTATGGTGCCTTTGGTGTAACCAACTTTGACAGGGCAAGCGAGAGGTATAAAGTGCACTCCGCCCCAGAGATTCTTACATATTCCACTGAACGGTAGGGCGCCCAAGTGGAAAGATGAAAACGGGATGAAAGCTAAACAGGTGAAAAAGGAAGAACGAAAAAAAAAAAAAAACTCCAGCCATGCAAATTATAAAAGTCCGTCGCATCATCATACCTTACTATACCAAGGCCATTTCTACATCCCTTTCTGCGATAGTGTGAATGGGCTAATGCCTACCCAACCTTCTGCGCACAACCGTAATGCACGACCGCCCCACTGCTACCATCAGTAACACGTCGGGGTAGAGGAAGTGAACAAGAAGAGCTCACCTCGCCAATCTCCAGAGCACACTTGCCCCCAACCTCTTATGACAAACGCCACAACTCCTCTCCTCACCCACGACTACAGCGACTCCCTGCTCCTTCAGCAGGCGGTCTTGCACGTCCACTAGGTAACTCTTCCTCAGCATTGCGGTTAATCGCCCGGTACTGGCTTTGGAATTTGCGGTCCGAATGCGTGATTGGAAATATGATTCCAGCGAGGCCATTGTTGTCCCCTCTGGGATGAGGGCTAGAGTCTCTGAGGCTTCGAGGCGGGCACCATGGCGGGAGAGTAGGGTTAATGCCGGTGCTAGGTGAGGGGTGTGTGGAGGCGGGGGGCGGAGGTAGAGTGTGAGGAGGGTATGATAAATTGTAGGGGTGGTGGTGGATGTTAGGTGGATTTGTTTGCAATATCTGTTTTTCGTTAGCACCAGCAGTGGAAGGGAGGGGGGAGGGTACTCTTCAGCTTTAACATGATCGTGTAGCTTAAAGACATAAATCTCCAGCGCAGCCTTGTGCTGACCCATATTCCTTAGGACAATCGCCCTCGCTTCGTAAAACGCCGGGTCCTCCCTGGGCAACCAGCCCAGGACTTTCTCACTACGGTACTGTTTACTCGCCGTCAAAAACCCAAGTAACTTCTCACTGTGGTGCGCAGAATCGGGCCTCTGCTTCAGCATGTTCAAGTAGAGCCAGATCAACCGCGTGTGGAACTCGGGCGTCTGGTCACCCAATTCGTGAATCACGTGTTCGAGGTACTGGATCGCGGAACCGGTGGAGCGGGATTGTAAGTACTCGACGACTTTTGAGCGGGGCAGGGATTCAGCATTCTCGCTGTCGGCCGTGAATATCTCCATGCCGAAACTGGGGTCCGCTTCTAGTGGCCATTGCGAGAACTCGAGGATGAGGTCTATGTGATTCGATTTCAAACTTTGCAAGTAGGCGATTGTCCTGCGAGGTCCGCAAAGCGAGGGGGCACGCTCATCCTCCGGGCCCTTGCCAAACTGTAGGAGAAGTTCGAGCGCTTCGCGGTGTAGCTCCCGCTGGTAGAGAAAGTCAATGAGTTCCGTGAATCTCCCGAGCTCACGGAGTTTCTCGCTGAAGACTTCTGGGTCACCGTGTTTTTGGATGCGCACAAATGGACCGACTAGACCGGGCCGCGCGATGATGTAGATCTTGAAGAGAGTTGTGTCGACCAAACGGGCGGCAGTGAGGAGTTTTTCGGTTCGTTCGGCACAAGCCTCCGAGGACCCATCTAAAGGTTTGCCGGCGGCAAGGAAGCTGGCTTCAAAGGGGTCGCGGTTTGTGCCGGAGGTGCTGGAGGCTTTGGAAATTATATTTGCGGGGTCGCCGCGGAGAGCGCCATCCGAGTGGAAGTATTTTGATAGCGCTTGACGGGTGTCGTTTAGGTGTGCCGAGAGGTGATCCACGGCTTTCTCGAGCTCGGGGCCTTGTAAGACCGGGGAGCCATCTGAGATGGTTTCTGTGTGTTTTACGGCGATGCTCGCTGCGTCGTCATCCACATGGCCCCTCCCTCCTCCGAAGTTGAATATGGAACTGGCATCGCCGACCTTTTTGGTCAGGGATATACTCCGGATGGAAGAAGTTTCGGGATTTGCTCCATTCAGCTTCTTTGGTATTGGTGTTGGTGGCTTTCCGTTCAGTGGAGGGGGTGTCCCCGACTTCTTCGGCGTAATGGGTTCAACTGTTGAGCAAGCCTCGCACTCGGGGGTTCCAGATCGACTTGCAGCATCAGAACCATTCGCCACCTCGCCAGAATTGACGGAGTCGCTGGTAGTAGTATCACATACGGACAGATCGCCAGCGATAACTTTTGGGAATAGCCTTATTGCTCTTTCAGGGGGGGCCGACACTTCAGTGAATAGGTCCATGCTTTCACGGTATTTCCTCCTTTCGAATAGTCGCTCTGCCTTCAGCATCTTCACTTCTCGAAGCTGCTCTCCTTTGCTGTTTAGGAGCACACTTTCCAAGATTTCAAGAAGACTTATAGCTTCGTCGAGATGATCCCCTTCTATCAACTGCTTGATTTGTGTCTCGTAGTCTGCCGCAGTCATCCGCCAGACCTGGCTCGAGGAGCCGATATAAAATAGCTTACCAGCGTGGACAAGTGATACATTCGGCGGGGGCACGTGGAGTATTGAGACGTTATTCAGGTGGATGGTTTGAAGCAGGGCATATGTGGATGGGTTGCGAACTTCGAGATGTTGCTTGGCGGTGCTCAGGGATACCAAGTACGGATATGAAAAGGCGACCGCATCTGGAGAGGCTGGCCATGGCACTGGTCGCCTGTTTGGAATAATTGCGCCCTCCGAGTCAACGAATAAGGTCGTAGCTTGCAATTGCCAAATCGGTTAGACGCGAAGCAATGCAGATCAAGAGTACCAGTATACTCACAGTCCTTCACCAGTAAAAGGTCATCTCCGCCCAAATGGGTACTCAAGGGTTTGGACCCCCATCCTCCCATTCCCATATAAGCTCCCCATCCAGCGGCTTCGCTGCTAACAGGCCCAGAGGCTCCGCCACCCTTCGTTTCTGGTGGAGCGATCTCCTTCGTGACCCCAGTCCGCACATCAATCACAACAAACCCACCGGCGAGTCCCACGACAACCTTTCTCCCGGAAGCCCAGGTGAGCGACCTCACGGCGCCACTCAAGACCACCTCCTTCCCTTCCAAGAACTCCTCGTCATGCCACGAGTAGAGCAGCAGCCGCTTCTTAATGCCGATAGCTAACCGACTCACAATGCTGGGAATCTGGGTCTTTTCGTCCCGTTCGATATTACTCGTGACGGCAAAAGTTGAGGCGCCTTTCGTCTTCGTCAGGGTTTCGGTAAGGGTGAATTCGTTCAGGTCGTGAATGTGAACATAGTTGTCGCTGAGGGAAACCAGAATCTGCACTTCCTTGATGCACGCGAGCAGTTCTATCGATCGTCGGGAGAACTTGTCGATGTTGCGCAAGAGCTCCAAGGAGATCTGGTCCGAATCCGGGGACAGAACCTTGTAATGCCGAAGGGTACCGTTTGAGAGGCCTAAAAGAAGCTTGTCACCTGTAGAGCCTTCGTTAGCCGTGGCCCCCTCCCCCATCAGGGTGGAGAAAGGCGAGAAAGACGAACCGTAAGCTAGCAGCGATTCAATCTTGAAACGCTCTTTCGGGGCTAGCTCGAAGATTGAATGGGCATTGAAAGCGTTGAGCATGGCTGCCGGCCAGCGCAAGGGCGGCAGGAGGAGCGGGAAACGAGGGGTACGGGTAATGCGGTGTTTCGTGATCTACTGAGATTCAAAGGGTGAAAAGAGTTGGAGAGGATGGCGTTTGGCGGAGGTGCAGGGTTTTTGGGGGGTTGTGTGGGCAAGTGTTGGTGCTTGTTGTCCAGCTGTCTTACATACGGGATTAACCTATCATATTATCGGTGCAGGCTGCATTCCCTAGCTGCCGAATCGACCGTTTCGCCAAGCCCAGAGTGCATACTGGGAGTTCTCGAGTTGTCTGCATCACAAACTTTGGACGAATAGAGATGGAAGGAAGCCCGAGTATGAGGGTTTTCCCCGCAAGTCGATGCCCGGCAGGGTACGATACCGGTATCATGGGTGAACCCGGAAGGTTGCCGTCTACCCAATATTCTGGCCTCATGCGTTTAAGCTCAAGAAATTGAGCGAAATGCCTCTATCCCATGTTCCTGAAGCTAAATAATACCATCCCTACAGTAACTTACCGTACAAGTACCGTACTCGTACTGAGCCTTGCTCGATGATTACAGATTACATAATCCAAAACGGCCATAAATGCATGCATTATGCCCTTATGCGTCAGGGATATTTGCTCCGTCAAATAGCGGTAGCTTCACACCCGTTCACCCGGGCGCCAGTGAAGAGGGGACGAGGGGGCGACAGGACTCGAGTGGGATTTTGTGATTAGAGAGTTCAACATATCATAGGTCGAGTGATAATCTATTGATTTCAATGCTTCAATAGGCCTTTTTTGTTTCGTGTGTGTGACTACGAACTGTTGATAGTCGCATTCATGGAGCCGACGTGTAGTAATACTGTGATAATGTTATATACCTTTGGTCCCAATTGTTGAAGATATGTGCCACTGTGGTGGTGGAGATATCATACTCTATCCTGGGACCGGATCTTTCGCCGAATCGTTTCCTGTGCTCTCCCAGATCTCGGGAATCAATCTTGCAGCATATCCTGGAATGGATATGGGAAGATCTCGGCCCGGGTCCTTGTACTGTAAAATACTCTCGGAATTGATTTCGTGGGTTGCCGCTTGATATCTGAACTAGTAGCAGCGACCGTTGGGCACTTACGTCTCCCTCATGAGGCCCACGTAAGTCACCCTCTGGGCTCCTCCTCTGGCATGCAATCCCCCTTGTTGCCCGTTCGCAGTGGTGACTGCTTCCCCGCCTCTTTGATTCCACACACAATTCCGCTTCTCTTCATCCGCTTCTCCCTTCCTCCTTCTTCTCCATCCCCATCCGCAACCCTCACCTTCAGCACTTCAGCACTCGCCCTGAACGTCTTTGTTCGCCCTTGGATGTGCCTGTGAATACAGATTCCATCCTAATCTTTCATCGCTCACCGGTTGTAGACTTCCTCGTAGACACAATTCTCTCGCCAATCGACCTTGCATCGTCTATTCACTGTTTCGTCAAACGTTTCAAAGTGAGTCCGCACTCCCTCTTTCTGCTTGTTATCTTGTGTACTCTTTATCCTGTTCTTTCTCATATCTCCCCTGTTTCCAATTGGTCCGTCCGTCCTCTTTTTCTATTTTTTTTTTTTTTCCCCTTCCTCTCGTCAAATCTTCTGGCCCAGGACTATTGATATAATTTCTCCTCACTCACTCCCCTTTATTCCTGCCTGTGTCATTTATCCTCACACCGATGCCTCCTCCCGATCCGCTCGGTCCTCTTGTCGTATTTTACTTTCGTAACGGTATTAACAGGGTGAGTGAATTATCGTAGTCGGGACTTGCAATAATGGCTATGCAACTTCGTCCTAGGGTTTCTTTGGGATCACTCCCCACTCCTTCTGTCAAAATCGGTAGGGGAAGGGGCAGGGCCGTAAAGACCAAGGTTTTAGAGGCTGTCAGCAGGGACAGTGTTTCCAATATGGTCAATGTCGAGAGGCAGAGTGTTACCCACCATAAAAATGAGGCTATTGAATGGGCTCAGGCTCCCAAATTTCATCAGAATGATGGTGGGAAGATTTCCCTTCCAAACAAAGTTTCTCCAGGAGTAGAGGCGGGCATCAAGAGAGAAGCTGTCGGGGGCGAAGAAGAAAAAGTAAAAGAAGAATCCGATGAAGATAGCAAATCACCCGGCCTTCTCGATGGCCAGTCCGACCTTGACGATGAAATCAGGACCAGAAATAGGAAACTGGCTTATGCCTTGGGCACGACGCCTTTTCCTGGCCATAAACTTCCGACACCCCACAACGTCGAAGAGGTAGTTGCCCTCCTCACAGTAGCACATGGGCCAGCAACCCGCCCGGACAAAGTCCCAAAGCCGGATAATTCTGTCTCTGGATGCGGGGAAGTTCCATCTGTCTTGGACGCAGTGATCCGCACTCTCCTCTCGGCCAACACCCACAACAGTAATTCATCGAAGGCGTTTGCAGGTCTTATTGATAGATTTGGCCTTGTGCCCGAGTATGGCGAAGTAGAAGGTGTCAAGGGGAGAAGTGACGCGGGCACTGTGGATTGGGATGCCGTGCGCAGGGCTGATCTTGACGATGTCGTCAATTCTATCCGCAAGGGTGGCATGGCTCCTACAAAGGGTAGAAGAATCAAGAACCTTCTTGATGCTGTCTGGAAGGAGAGCATCGAGCGGAAGCGTGCTGAGAGGATCAAGAAAGAGGGCTCTGCGAAACAGGAAGATGAAGAGACCATCAAGAAGGAACCTCTCGACAATTACAGTATCGATGACGAAGACGGTGACCTATCCCTGGATTACATCCACAAACTGACCGATGAGGAAGCCCGCGAGAAGCTCACATCTTTTGATGGTGTCGGTCCCAAGACAGCTAGCTGTGTTATGCTCTTCTGTGATTAGCCCCTTCCACCCACTCAGATTTCGGTCACTGATGATTCCCTCCAGGTCTCCAACGCGACTCTTTCGCCGTGGACACGCACGTCTTCAGACTATCCAAATTCCTCAAATGGGTCCCGGCGAAGGCAACCAGAGAGACCACCTACGCTCATCTCGACGTTAGAGTCCCTGCCGAACACAAGTACGCATTGCACAACCTCCTTATCCGCCACGGCCGTACCTGCAAAGAATGCAAGGCCGGTCCAAAGCATAGGGGCAAAAAGCGTGCCTCCTCCGAAACCTCCCTGGACCTCTCCCCCGGACCTGGGCCAAAGATGAGAAAGGTCTGGATCGGCACCGGGATGATGAAGGAAATCCTCGTCGAGGTTCCTGATACCGGTCAGGAGGGCGAAGCGGAGTCTGAGAAGTGTGTTCTTAGGGCTTTGCTCAAGCGTCAACGCGATGAGAAGGCTAAGGCTAAAATGGAAGCCAAGGAAGGGATGGATGCGAAGACTAAGGGCGAAGGTGGTGGAGTCGATGTCGTCTAGATGGAGGATTGGTATAGTATTAGGGGTACCGTATAGTACTGTAGGTGCTCTCCATCTTGTTGTCCGTGCTTTTGGTGATTGGCTGGATGGTTGCTTTTCAAGGCAAACCGTTTCCTATATTTCTACTATTGCTTTCTTTTCATTTTTCATTTTCGTTTTTCTCAAAGATTCCTTGTTGAATATATTATCCCCATTATCGATCCGGATGAATACAGGCGGGGGCGTGTCATTAACCTTCCTATTATTAATCCTGAGTTTTTTTTTTCCTTTTCTTTCTGTTTTCCATATAGCCCCTCCACTCCTCTCACTTCCTCCCATCATGTTATGAACTTGCTGTTTAAGGATCCGGTCGGGCAGGTGCAGGTGCGATAAGTTACTGGATTCGGATGTTTTAATTTTTTTTTTAATTTTTTTATCTCCTTCACTTTCTATGAAAACCATTTTAGCACTGGCATTACACTTGGCTATATATCCTTGCTTCACTTTCAGTTTCTTTCCATGATATGTACCGTATCATAGATGCGTGCCTTCGCTAAGGCTATGATTGGGGGATTGATGACGACTGATGCTTCATGATACCATAATGTTATGGAAATAAATGATAAATTATTTATTTATTTATTTTAAAAAAAAACACCAAAGAAAAATTGTAGGTTTCACTGTACTGAAAATGTTCACTTTAGTTGTGGGTTGCAGCCACATATCATATCATATCGTATCGTAAAGAGCACATAGGTTGAACTAGTGATAGGAAGGAAGGAATATATATATTATAAAAGACAAAAAAGCTTTTGTAGCGAGAATATTTATGGTACATTGCCCCCCCCCCCCCGCGCCATGAATTCACCTATTCAGATGATACCAGACTACTGTACCCCCTCACTACACCGCTACACTTCCTCACTACTTCTCCCGCTCTTCTTCCCCTTACTCCTCCCTCCCTCCAACTTCCTTCTCTTCCTCTTCAACCCCTCAACCTCGCCTTCCTTCTTGGCGTTTGAGTAAAGCATCTTCTCGTACAACTTTCTCTTCCTCCGACTCATCATGATCTTCTTCATTTCCTTCTGGTCTTCTTCCTCTCGCTGTTGTCTGCTCATTTTTGCCCTATTTTTCTTCTTCTGCTTCTTCTTGTCTTGTTCAGAAGGGGCGGGTGGCTTAGCGCCGGCGGCTTCGGCGGCGAGTTCACGTTGATAGTCATCATCGTCAGCATCATCACCATCCCCTTCTGAGGACTCGTCTTCGATGGGGGCGGTGGCGGCGATGGTGGTAGGAGGGGCAGGGGCGGGTTCGGATTCAGAGTCGGAAGCCAGGTCTTCTTGCATATCGTTGTCAGAGTCTATCTCCTCTTCTTTCTCTTCTTCCTCTTCGCTGTGCTCGACGTCTGGGAGTGCAACAGTGGGGTCGTATCCCTCACCGGGCTTGACCCATGGGCTCAAGTGCGGTGGTAGCAGTGCCCCAGGGGCGTACTCCCCCGGCGGGAGCAGCCTTCCGGCGTTAATGCAGTCCCAGACGTACTGTGGCTGGACGTATATCCTTCCCGGAAACCTACCTGTAGTGGTGGTAGCAATTGCGCTGGGAGCGCTGTCGTCGTCTGCGGAAGGAGGAGGAGGGAAGGTGGGGGGCCGGTCAACAATTTGGTGGGTTATACTTGTGTTGCTGGGATTCTCGGTGTACGCACCCGCGCCTAGCACGGTGTCCCAACCGATGCGCTTGCAGCCGAAAGATCTCAGTAGGAATTCTAGTGGGTCGCGGGGGGTTTCGCGGGAGAGGTAGAAGGTGGCGCTTGAGAAGAGGGTCGTCGAGGTTGAGGCCGTTTGCAACAGGGTAGGTTGCAGGAGCGTGTCGGAGGAGGCGGCGGCAGGGGTGAAGGTGTCTATTATTAGGTCTTCACCGGGTGTTCCTTCTTCATGCTCGGGCTCGATGATGGCAGAGGTGGTGGAGTCTTCGTTCGACAAGGAAGCAATCTTAGCACCCAAGGTGGCCATCTGCTTCGACACATCCTTATTCTCTCCAGCCTCTTCACCGTGCTTCTCCTCACCCCCAGAAGTCAAAAGTCCAGCAACCCCCCGACTCTCAATCTTAAAAGCCCCCAACCCTCCAGCATTCTCATCCGCATCCTTATCAAACCTAGGCGGGTAGACGAGTCCCTCAACGGCATACAGTCTGAAAAGCACGAACCCAACGAGTGTAGTATAGAACTCTACAAAGGTATGCATAATCCGAAAATCTACATCGACCGGAACATTCTGCGCAAAAGTGTACGGGACCAACCAAAGCACCTCCTGGCCGCCCCCGACCTCAGCCTGGTAGTAAATCCCCTTGATGCTCAAGAAGCTCTTTCGCAGTGCGCCCGCACGGATAACGTAGTGCGCCCACTCCTTCGCGAGTCTGGAGCAATTGGCCACAGTTGCGGGAGGCAGGTTTTCATTGGTGGGCAGGCTGGCAAAGAGGTGAATCATGGAGAGAGCGTCGTCCAGGTCGCGCAGGGCGTCGGTGAAGGTCGGGTAGCGCTCCTTCACAATGTGGTCCAGTCGTATTACCGGCTTCTGGGTGGTTTCCAGACGTTTTGCGTCCGAGAAGTCGCCGCGGCCGAGGGCCTTCTGGAGCTTCTTTGCAAATGCTTTGTGGTCGCGGAATTTTTGCAGGACGGGCTCATGGAGGAGGTATTGGATGTCTTTGGTCTACCGTACCCCACCTTTGCATTAGCCATTGAGGGGGGAGAGGGGTCGGGAGGGGAAAAGGTACATACGTAATAAAAAGTAGTTGACTGAGTAGACCCCTTATTCGCCTTCTTCTTATTCCTGGGCTCGCGGGGATAGATTCCTGATTCCCATCCATTCACCCATCAGCAATTGCCCTCTTTTCCCCCTTCCACCCGCCACCACCACCGAGGATGAGCGAGCGAGCAAGCACACCTTTGAAAATACACAGTCTCCGAAAATCCGGCAGCGAAACCTGCAACTTCCGAACGGCTTGCGTCCTCGTTATGAAGTTTTTGGCATTGCCGGAGACTCCTTTTGTCAATTATTAGCCGCACATCCCTTTATATAGTGTCGAGCCATTGTAACACTCACCCTTCTTCTTGATTTTCGCCATTATTGATTTGTTGCAGTAAAAGGTGGACGTTTGGCGTTGGGATGTGGTTGGAAGAAATGACCCTTTACTTTTTTTTTTTTTTTTTTTCCTTGGAAGAAAGAGACGTCGAAGCTCTGGCGGTTACCCGGCTGAATGGTGGGGTACAAGAGATAACGTTATACTTGTAGGAGTATCATAGTGTCCGGGCGAATAGATAAGCGTGGTTGGTTAGGATATTTTGAGGCCCTGTTGCGATGGTCCTTGTTTTTTTCTCCAGAAGTTCAACTTATTAGGGTAGTAGAGGTGCTACTAATGCTGGTCGGGCTTGGATTCTTTTTTAAAATGGATAGCTATCATTAAACTTTTTTTCCTACAGTTGTTCGCACACGTCGTGATCGACGGCAGTGATATTTCATGATTAAGAACGGTCGGTACACTCTCTAAACACTAACGGAACAGAGAAATTAGAATAAGATAGTCTAGTAATCGCATTGGTATTTTCCCGCCACCGCCAGGTCACCATCCACTATACAGCTCCCGTTCCCATTTCTTACTTCACCCACTCCCACTCCCATTTGCAACTACCTTTTCCGTCTTCGCCAACAACTTTTCCATAATCCCCTCAAACACCGGACAGAGCTTCGAGTCCCCATACCTCTGTAGCAACTCTACCCCATCCGTCGTCTCCTTCTGCCTCTCGAGCATAAGGTTGAAAGCCGGATCAATCGGCACAGCGCCAAAAAAGTCCACGCCAAACTGCTCGGCCATGACGGCGCCACCGCCGCTGGAGAAGACGTTGGTGCAGGTGGAGCAATGCGGACATACGAAGCCACTCATGTTCTCGACCACGCCAAGGACGTCGAGCCCGACCTTTTTGCAAAAGTTGAGCTCCTTGCGCACGTCTGCTGTGGAGATGGCCTGCGGGGTCGTCACGACCACGGCGCCGTCGGGGGATACACTGCGAAGCTGCTCTGCCAGGGAGATGTGTTCGTCGGAGGTCCCTATCATGCGCCTCATATCAACCTCCGGGGGAGCAATCAGGGGAGGAGAAGGGGGGAAGAGAGGATACCCGGTGGCGTATCAACCAACAAATAATCCACATCTCTCCATAAAACATCCGTAAGGAACTGCCTGACCATAGCCGTCTTCTTGGGCCCTCTCCAGACAACACTATCTCCCCGGTCCCGAAGCAGGAAGCCCAGACTCATACACTCGATACTCCCCGCGCCATTCCCCGTTGAGTCCGAGTCTCCGACTTTCACGGGGATCCAGCCACCGGGGGCTTGGTGGACCTTTTTCTCCTCCACGTTGAGCATTCGCGGGATGTTAGGGCCCGTCAGGTCTATGTCCAGGACTCCGACCTTTTTGCCTGCCCGGGCGAGGGTCAGGGCGAGTTGAACGGTTACGGAGGATTTGCCAACGCCGCCTTTGCCCGAGAGGACCTGTTGGGTGGTTAGCTGGCAGTGCCCGAGAGCGGAGGGGTGGTGGGGCTTACCAGGACAACATGTTTTACGTTTTCCAGCATTCCGCGATTGGTTGGGGGGCTGGGCGGGTGTCGAAGGTGGGGAGGAGATGGGTGACCAGAGGTGATGGCGATGCAGGTATGGGGAATGGTGCTTATAAATAAAGTGAAAATCCATTATTTACAATATCATGGAATCCTTGCCCACCTTATGATTTCGAAGGCAGAGAGATAGTCTATAATTCGTAACAGATGGCGATTCCCCGAATCAGCACGCATCACTCTTTGCACTCGGCATCCCGCCGCCCGGAGATCTCGAGGGCAAGGAGCGAACCGATGACCTCACTTTGGCAGAGCCGGGGATTGTCTTGGCAGAACTATGATATGATAACTTCTCCCATCTTCATCCAACTATTAATATCATACTCGCATATCTCAAGTAATTCTCAATCATTAGGCCCAGTTCTTAAGAGTTCACAAGAATATTGACACTAGCCATACTATGATATTAGGAGACTACCCCACCATCCCCAACCCTCTACATTGTACCTTACAGCGGGGGGGAGCGAGAGAGAGGTCACCATTAGCAACGCAGAGCACTGTACGTTGCTGTGCGTGTAGGTAGCAAGAGCCTCCAATTGTATCTTATCATACTGTACTGGAGCAACTTATCGGTAAAACACCACACCATCCCTGCAGCAAGCAAGCAAGCAACACAACCTCAACTCACCACACCACACTCCTCTCGCCCCACAACCCAAAAACTATGGCAACCCCCTACACCCGCTTCGAAGTAGAGCTCGAGGTTCCTCCCTTCCCCTCCCCTCCCCCTCCCCAACGAACCGCTAACATCTTCAGTTCGTCCAATGCCTGGCAAACCCCTTCTACCTAAACTTCCTCGCGCACAGCAAGATCCTGGAAGACGAGAGATTCAAAAACTATATAATATACCTCCAATACTTTCGCAAACCAGAGTACACGAAGCTGCTCACATACCCGGTACACTCGCTGGCAGCGTTGACGCTATTGCAGCAGCCGGGTTTCCGCACCGGGATCATGAATCAGGGGTTAGCGATGGGGATGTTAGGCGAGGTCGTGGCCGAGGGGAAGAAGGAAGGGGAGAGGGAGAGGGAGAAGGGAAAGGTTGGGGAAGGGGAAGGTGGTGATGGTGGTGGTGGGGAGAGCGAGGTTGGGGGGAATTGAGGGATGGGTTGTTTGTGCTGTAATACTGTACGTACAGTGAGGAGAGGTTTCTGCCGTTGTCTACCCAATATATCTAATCCCGGAGCTCACGTAATTCTATGAAGTGGCTACAGTGTTAACTTTTTACAGCGTACCTTGAAATCGTACCCGATCAGGTTAAACAGCAATTGGCCTACCGAATGGAGCGCCTGGAGGAAACGCCATCTAGCAAGAAACTATCCCCTCCCAGCCAATGTCTCCAACCTGCTCGCCAAAACCTTATGCTTCGCCACAACCCCCACCCACTCCTCCTCCTCCTCTCCATCCCCATACTTCTCCTCCCGTCCCCCATCCCCCATGCCAAAACATTCAATAACGCCCAGAATAGCCCCAAACTCCCCACCCAGCCTCCCCATACTCCCAGCGGCATACAGCACCTGCGTGAGCAAACTCTCCCGGACACTCCTCTCCTCGATGGTCTTCAGATACCTCCCCAGTGTCTCGGTCAAGAGCGACAACAAATGCAACACAAAGCTAGCCAGCGGATCCGGCGCCTGGCCACCCTCGGGATCATCATCATTCGCACTGGAGCTCATGTTCGACAAGGTTGAACTGCTTCTGCTGCGGATACCTATCCCCATAGAGCTCATTATTGGCGAATGTGGGTGCGGAGAGCCGGGTGGCGGGGGGTCCGGATTTGCGGCGGGGAGAGCGTTGGGGAAGATACTCTTGTACATGGAAACTATACCGAAACTCTGCTCTCGGAAGACTTCTATCCACCGTTTTAAGTAACGCTCTGTCTGTGTACCGCCGCCCCAGCTGCTAGGCGTTGTGACCGTTGTAATACCAGCTGTAGAGGTATTGTCGTCTCTGCCGTCCCGTTGGCGCTCCCGCTCTTCTTCAGCTAGTTCTTTGAGCGGGTCCAAGGCGCTGAGAAGATTGGAGAGAAATGCGAGTCTGCAAACAAGAAATAGGCCGCGCAGACCTCTTTCATCCATTGCGACCCCTTTAGTGCCACAGCGGCGGAGGAAGCCGATCGTTTTCATTGCTGTTGGAAGCTTTAATGGGCCGCGGAGGGTGCTGATTAGGTTTGCCGTCATGGACTTTTGCAGCGTTTCGCATTCTGTGTAGATCGAGTGTATAGTTGGCGAGTCATGGTATAGTGAATGCAACCTTCGGACATGTGCTAGAAGGTCGAGCGCTGTTGGGTACGAGGAGGTGGAGATGAGGGACTGGAGGAGTGTTGGGAGTTGTAGAATGTCCGAGAGTCTGTCCAGGTTTTTGGAGAGGAGGTGGGTTCTTGAACGGCCAGTCAGATACGTCCCATCCCGACCGAAATTTGTGGTAAAGTTTGTTATTTGTGAGTCAATCGTAGGTAGACTGTTCTCGAGGGCAGTGAGGGAGGAATGGAGCGACTGTATGGATTCGGGGACCGCTGAGAGGTGATTAGAAGCGGTGATGATGGACTTGTGAGACCGTGACGAGAGGGATTGCAGCGAAAGGTTTAGGGAATGTAGTGAAGATGACAAAGATGCTTGCTCGGATCCCACAATTGAGGTGAGTGGGAGTGAGGATAACCGGGAGAGATATTGCGTCGAAACAGCCGGGTCTGGCGGGGCGGCCGGCTGAGGGATATGTGGAAGTAAGAGGTCAAGAAGTGGGTTGAATGAGGATATTGAATGGTCCATTATGTGCAGCCGTGGAGGTGATAGTATCCTCACGCCGCCGCAAACCCATATAGAGATATGCTTGTGGAAGAACTTACGAGTAATTTAACCCGCGGGTTAACAATTGGTCTTCACCTGGTGTAAACATCATACCACCATCATACCACTATCATACCGCCATCTCTCCCCATGCCCCCCCCATATATTATAACTTGTGGCTAGTGCAGTTACCCGGTTACTCGAGAACCGTAGATTACCTTGGCATTGAGTTTCATGCGGAATCACTCAGGTACTGTTTCGGCCTCCCAATGATTTTACATGATACTTGTGGCATGTATGATAGCACAATTAGTTTCTGATATAACCTTGCCCGAGAGGCTCAATGAAATAGTCTATGTCCCAGTAACTTTTGTCTATTCCTCTTGACCCCCACCACCCCCACCGCCCTTTTTAGCTCCCTTGGCGCCGCAGATTTCATCAACACGAAGGAGAAGGCACGCAGACTAGAAAAACTGTCAGTAAAATGTGAATCCAGACATTTATACAGGTTTCCTCTCCCCACCTCAATAGCTGTCTTAACGCTTTGTAGCTTCACCGCCTCAGGCTCCCAGACACCATATTCCTTCATATCAACAATCTTGCCGGTATCACCGTCAATCCCCCAAGTATGCTCCTTCGCGACATGTTTTGCACGTAGCTGGGTGAGCACTCTTATCGGGCTGGCACCAGAATTTGTCACTAATGTCCTAGGTATCACTTCCAGGGCCTCCGCAACCCCCCTGTACGGCCACTGCTGCACACCTTCGATAGACTTTGAAATCTCAGCAAGGCGTGCAGAGATAGCCATCTCAGTCGCACCGCCTCCAGGGGCCAAACGGGGGTGGAAAAAGACATTGCGTGCCACTGACATTGCGTCCTGTAGATTGCGTTCGATTTCGTTAAGAATATCCTTAGAGGGCCCACGGAGGAGGATTGTGCAAGCTTTAGGATCTTCACACTTTGTCATAAACGAAAAGTATCTAAGAGGGTCAGCTGTGTTGTCTTCACGGGGTCCTCAAATTTCACGGGGTAGGATTAAGATCGCGTACTCATCACCAATCTTCTCAATTTCAAAGAGACCGCATTTAGTGCCAATATCTGACCCATTGATATCGTCCACACGGTTCACAATTGTAGCACCAACGGCACGGGCGATACGGTTGTTATCGGTCTTTCTGACACGGCGAAGAGCTGTTACATTGCCCTTGAGAAGGTAGTGTTGAGCAAGATCTTAAGGTAGCATCGTCAGTCGTTCGTCCCAACAGATAACCATGGGGAGGCACACCAGAAACTCCCTTCTCAGTTATGACTAGATCCGGCTTGAATGCTAAAATGGCGTCACACATAGCCTTGACCTGCCTTTCTTCTATTTCCAAGATCTTACTCCAGTCCTCCTCCTTACTAATTTCGATATTGGTCTGAGACTCTCCCTTCTTATACTCCAGCGGGCAATCCAGCAAGAGAATTCTAGGGTTCTCAATCCTCCTCCTCATCTTCGGGTGCGTAATATCTTTATTCAGCATGACACCGTCAAGAACTCTCGAATCCTCGATCTCTCCTCCAGGGATCTTCTCGACCCTAGCATAACGCTTTATGTCGACCTCCTTTTTCCCGCCCTGATCCCTCGCCACAGTGCGGACAGCCGAAAGAGCGAGATCGCACATCAGCTTTGACCATCTGGAGACAAACTTTGTGCCGATGGAAGACTGAATCAAGTTATGCATCGCCTCGTCGTCATCGGTAGATATGGGAATGGAGATGTCCTCAACGATAGCCAGGGCATCAGCAAGAGCTCTCTTGAAAGCCTGGATAATGACGACCGGGTGGATGTTGCGTTGTAAATGCGGAAGAGCTTGTGCAAGGATTTCACCGGCAAGGATGATAACAGTAGTAGTACCATCTCCAACTTCCTCGTCCTATTCGTAGAGAGAAGACAATGTCAACGGTTACTCCTATAGAAAACCCGACTTGCCCACACAAACCCCAGAATCCCGTCACTTCGGGTATCAGAAGTGACGGTAGCAGCAAGCAGCGTGGGAAATACGGTCATACCTGCGTCCGACTCAACTCGATCATGCTCTTAGCAGCAGGATGTGCGACCTCGATTTCCCTAAGAATAGCATGTCCGTCGTTTGTCAACACAATTCCACCCATTGGGTCCAGCAGCATTTTCAACATCGCTTTAGGGCCTAAACAAGACCGAATGATGTCTGCAACGGTCTTAGCAGCAGTGATATTCGAAAGTTGAGCTTTGCGTCCTATTTACCAGTATAAGCACACATCAGGGATTAAACTTGATCAGAGAAAAGTGGAATATAAAAATAGGTGAAATACCAGTCTGGCGCTCCCCAGACTGAGTGTTCATAACCAGCACTGGAGCCTGCATTGTGAAGGGAAAAGGATGATTATATGGAGTAAATTCTCAGGGGAACTGTTCAAGTATAGAGACAATTTGAGGAGAAGAATGGATTTGATAGAAAAGGTTGGCTTTTTGGATGGTGGGGTGGTGGAAGCCGGCGATGCGGGGTGGGAAGGACTCGACAATCTCATGCTCTCCTTGGGGCTCTTGCCGTTTTCGGGGGCGGTAGCCAAGACAACCGCACTCTTGATGGTCTGTTGGACCATCGTTGAGGCCACCTCCGTTAAAACTTGGAGTTCACCCCCTTCTCTCCCCCCACTAACGACCGCCTCCGCTACCATCATAACCAGCCTACACTACCCACTCCCGAGTCTCATATCAGCCTATCTGATAAAACACAAACATCCATCGCCATGGTCTCCTGGTCAACAATACAGGCCTTTCTCGTCCTGTTAGGGCCCATAATCTATTCGCGTGGGAATGCCTTCTACCAATCCACAAAACTCCGCGGTCCCCCGAGAGTCCTCACTCCGGGCACCCACCGTATCCTAAACATCCTCTTCGTAACTGGAGTAGTCGCCCTCCTCTCCACCCTTCCATTCTTCGCTCCAGAAAACATCTTCCAAAAGACCGGCTCCAGATTGCAGATCCCTACAGACATTCTCTTCCACCGGCTTTCCAAGATCCGGGAAACTACACCCGATGATGAAATACTCCGTGCGCGCTTGGTGTCGAAGGAGGCAAGGCTGATGTACGCTAACTTCGGTCCGAAGCCGTTGGTGGAGTGTTCGTGGTGTAGCTTGGAAGAAGCTAATACCTACATATTTTATGCCTTGCCCACTCTTGCGCTACCGCACCTTCTGCATATAGCTGTGCTTGGAATTGTTACATCTTCTTACTTCTCCCCCTTCGGGCGTGTGTGGAGGACCCACGCTACGGTTGCTGGACTCGCACTGTTCTTAGTGGAGCTGTACTCGGTTGGATTTTCGGCATCGGATCACAACGCTAACACGTTGGCCAAGCTGCCCGCAGACGTGGTCTGGACGCACTGGAGGTTGATCCTTTGGCGTGGAGTTGGGATTGCGTTTGTGGACGCTTGGCTGGGTTATGTTATCTTTCTTACGGGAACTGGGAGGTGGACTGCGGGCCTAGATGGACTCCGTGTGCAAGAGAAGCTGGAGACTCTGAATAAGGCTTCCGAACTTGTCTACGCTAGGCTGCATTCTGAGAACTTATTGCGACAAACGGTGTTGGGGAATAAAGATCTAAGGGAGAAATCCTTCGAGTTCTGGGCGGCGGAGGAGAGGGTTGGGAAGGAGATCATGCTGGACGAGGAGGTCAAGAAGGCTCGCGCGAACCCCGCATTGAACATCACTCAGCTTACAGAGGGGGCAGCGCAAAAGAGCGAGGGGATGCTGAACAAGATAAGCACTTGGAGAGGACTCTCAACCCAAACCCCTCCAACAAGCTCCCCACAGCCGTCAACCGCCGCCGCATCTTAACCCCTCCCCCTCCCCGATGGGCATTTTGCTGTTCACTATCGTAGTTTCTATCCGCTATTTTTTTATACATGCGTATTTCTAGTTTGTACATAGTCGTATAGAATTCGGAGTTGAGGTTTTTTCCTTTTCCCCAACAGTAATAGCGGGACATCTAATATCTCCCCTATAATACTGACCAGATTCATGATACAATACCTGAAAAAGACCTGGAGAAAGGAAAAAGAAAAAAAAGCATCATCAGCTGTTAAAAAGAGAATGCCCGAATCACTTTTCAGTACTCATTTCCAATTCGTCTAGGAGAGTACCCTCGGCCAACTTCCTTCTATTCTCCTGCCATTCGGCCCAAGCCAGCCCCTGCAAAAGACAATCGGCCAGATCATCCAACTTGACAACCTTTTTCTTAATGCCGGCTGAAGGGGGCATAAAGTGATCGGCAATGTCCTTGAGTCCCTCAGCGACGTCAAACATCACCCCTTTCTCAATCCACTCGCTGACCAGGGCGATCTTCTTCATCTTGGTCCCACTCGGCCCACTAACCTTCCTCTCGACGTACGCCATTTCCCCACTGGCGGTGCGCCTCCGCACGCGACTCATAACCTTGATGTCCTCGTCGATCCAGTAGTCCATGACGCGCGCGGGACTGATGCTTTCGACAGTAGCGGAGGTCTTCTTCTGGTCGCGCAGACAGCGCAGGGTGGCATGTATCATACCCTCAAAGCGGTTAACATGGAAGATCCATTCCACCATGGCGATACCGGCGCCAGACTTTATCCGCTGCTGCTCGATCAGGATGGCATCCAAGGGTGGGAAACGCTGAATGATACTGCGGCAGAAGTTATTGGAGTGCACAGCGAATATTGCGGGCTCGAAGGACTCTTTTATGGGCTTTGAGGGTGGGTTGGCATCGCGCTCGGCCAAGGTTTCGGCCAGGATTTGTCGGAGTTCGTCGAGGTCCTGGGGTTTCCGTTTCTTCACCGAGATGGAGGAGGACGGCTTTGTAGTTGCTGAGGCTGATTCGAGGTCTGGCTGCTCTTCCATTGCGGTAGAACCCTCCCCGAAACGACGGTTACTCCCCAACCTTTCTTGGGTTGATTCCATTGATCCTGCCTTGCCCGTCATTTTTAATCGTTCCGTGAGTGTTTGTCCCCAATTGCTGTATGTAGCCACCTGCCCCATCCCCACAGACGTCCCAGTTGCCTGTGATTTCTTCCTCTTCCTTGCCTGAACCTCAGGACTCAGACCGGGGATAAGTCCTTTCAATTCCTCCACAAATTGTGACATCTTCGTCCTCCTAGCCTCCGGTTTGGCCACCACCTTCTTCTTCTTCTCCCTCTTTTCATCATCCTCCTCCTCCTCCGCACTCACCTCATCTTCCTCCCCATCCGCGGGTACCTTTGTATTGTTCCAAATCTCCATTCCTGGCGGAGTCTTCCCAGTCTCTGTGGGCGGGATGCATATCCGCTCCCAGGCCAATACCTTTGGCCGAGCCAGCTTCTTCCAAGGACTAGGCAACTCTATAAAACAGAAGGCGAGATTCCGAATCCCCATGTCAATACTGACCACCCGTCTCGGCGAAGCTAGTGGTGCAGCCTTGTGCGAGGTGATCCGCGAAGCCATTTGCTCCTTCGTGCCACCCATCTCGAGTCCCAGACTCCTAAGCAGAAACTTGAGTTGTGGCGTCTTCAGGCTCAGAAGCGAAGACTTGGAAGGGACAGCCATCTATTTGCCATAGGACAGAGGGCAATTGTGGAGGTAAGGGTAATCCGATATTTTTTCTTTTCCTCTCCCCTCCTCTTTAACGGTGAATTGAGGTGGTTTGCACGTTTAGATGATGAGGGAGGAAAGAGAAGAGAGGAAAGTTTGAGGTTTGCATATTCGGTTGAGGTTGACATTAAGCCTAGTGCTACGAGTACTCGTACAGCGTTTAGGGCTCAACTGTTGCAAGGTTCATAAAATTTAAAGATAAGCCAAACCGCTTTCGAGCCAAGCCCCTGGCCCTTACATGAGGTACTCGCCGGGTCCGCTATGAGGGGTTGGGGTTATTAACCTAAATTATGCCTCTGATATGATTCTTTTACTGTCATAACACCATAATATGAACGCGTTTTTATTAGAACCTACACTTGGGCACTCAACACCAAACAATTTTTTTTGGCCTAGCAAGCTTCATAGACATGTAGAGTATATATTCATCAGTTCAAAAAATATTCATGAGCCTTATATACTGTAATTTGCAGCTTCTGAACCAAAAAATGTGAAAAATACCAAAATGCATTTTTTGCACTAAAAATATCTTGCACTTCCTGAGCATCAGTAGCACCAAATCCCATCTCAATTGGACAAC